TGTTCCCCACGGGGAGCGGGCCTAAGCCATCAGTCGAACATCCTTAGTGCTGCTACAGAGGCAGGAGAGGCTCCCGCCACCGCCACTATGCTCACCAGCTGTGAGCCCGGCTTCTGGCTGAACAGCGCTCCCCCTGTGGAAGCACACTAACCACCAGGGTGCAGCTCCTGCGTTGAGCGTCTGTCCCCTGGTGGTCAGTGCATGTCATAGCGACTGGTTGTTCCACTGTTCAATTTGCATATTAGCCTTTTATTATATAGGATTACAGATGTCTCCCATTTCCCCCCTTTGCTCTCCACTGAGCTCCCACCCCACCCAAGTCCTCCACCACACTATTGACTCTGTCCATGGGCTATGCATATCTTACCTAATAATAGACAAACATGTAAATTGACCATAACTTCGCTATGCTAACCAGCCAATCAGGAGAGTATGCAAATTAACCTAACAAAGATGGTGGTTAATTTGCATACGTAGGCTCCAAGTAGTGGAGCAAAGCCTGACAGCCCCGGGGCCAGCGGAGCAGCGAAAGCCTCATGGCTGTGGGGCCGGCGGAGTAGCGAAAGCCTCACGGCCCCAGGGCCAGCTCCGGCTGGAGCCTGGCCAGAGCGAAGGCCTGGGTGCCGGGTGCCGGAGGAAAACCAGTGCCAGCAGCCAGGGGAAAGGAAGGCCTATTGCACGAATCTCTTCATGCAACAGGCCTCTAGTCTATATATATAAAAGGCTAAGCGACTGTCTGACCGGCTGGTAGGTATGACGTGCACTGACCTCCAGGGGCCAGACGCTCAATGCAGGAGCTTCTGAGCTTTGATGACTTGGCAGCAGTGGTTCTCGGGTGATGCACCCCAGAACCAGAGAGGAGGGAGCCCGATTCCTTGTGGGGCTGCGTGATTCCACCTTCGGCCATGGGTTATGTTGTTGCTGGGGCACTGTCGGCCCCAAATCTGGTTTACTGCACACTTGTGTTTGTGTTCCACACCCTGTACCACAGCATCTTTGCAGAGTGCCCTCTCGCACTCCGGGACCCCTCGGGGGATGTCAGAGAGCTGGTTTCAGCCTGATCCCCGCAGGCCAGGCCGAGGGACCCCACTTGCTGGAGGGACCCTGCTCACTCTGCAGATGCCCTTCAAGTTGCAACGCCCCCCAGGTGTGGCTGGCCAGGGAGGGACCACGGGAGGTTGGCTCTAGGGCATGTCCGGCCCGTCTCACCCAGTCCTGCCCCACTGGCCACCTTCTAATTAATTTTCTTTCAATGTGCACGGATTACCAGGTCACTAGTATTTGTATAAGTTCTTTGGTTAATCTCTTCATTGAATATTTGTACCCTTAAGTTCATAGCAGCACAATTTACAATAGCTGACTGGTGTTTCTGATTTCTTGGGATATATTCCTAGAAGTGGGATTACTGGGTCAATGTCCCCTTTTACTCTGAAATTCCTCAGTCTGTTCCATGTTTCTATGTCTCTGGATCTATTTTGTTCATCAGTTTATTTTTTTCATTAGATTCCACATATGAGGGAGATCATGTGATATTTGTCATTCTCTGACAGGCCTATTTCATTTATCATAATACTTTCTGGGTCCCTCCATGCTATCTCAAAGGGTAGGAGCTCCTTATTTTTTACAGCTGTATAGTATTCCATTGTGTAAATATACTACATCTTTTTTATCCACCCATCTACTTGGGCTGTTTCCAGATCCTAGCTATCATATGTAATAAAAGCGTAGTATACAAATTGTCCCCTTCACCAGGAAGTGTCCGGGAGTTCAATCAGGGGGGCAGGGCCAGCTGGGGGAAGGCAGGGAAGCCCCGGCCGGCAGCCACTAGGGACTCTAGCAGTGCACAAATTTCATGCACTGGGCCTCTAATTGTAAATAATGTTGCTATGAACCTAGGGGTACTAGAATTTAGTTAATTATTTATTTATTTTTATTCTTTATTGTTTAAAGTATTACATATGATTCCTTTTTCTCCCATTGACCCCCTCCCTGGCTACTTCCACCCCCCAGGACATGCCTCCACTACCCCAGTGTTTGGGTCCATTGGTTATGCTTATATGCATGCATACAAGTCCTTTGGTTAATCTCTTACTCCCCTCCCCCTTCCTTCTGAGGTTTGATGGTCTGTTCGATGCTTCTCTGTTTCTGGATCTATTTTTGTTAATCAGTTTATGTTGTTCATTATATTCCACAAATAAGTGAGATCATGTGATATTTATTTTTCTCCGACTGGCTTATTTCACTTAGCATAATGCTCTCCATGTCTATCCATGCAGTTGCAAATGGTAAGAATTCCTTCTTTTTTACAGCAGTGTAGTATTCCATTGTGTAGCTGTATCACTGTTTTTTAATCCACTCATCTGCTGATGGTCACTTAGGCTGTTTCCAAATCTTAGCTATTGTAAATTGTGCTGCTATGAACTTAAGGGTACAAATATTCTTTCTGACTGGTGTTTCTGATTTCTTGGGATATATTCCTAGAAGTGGGATTACTGGGTCAAATGGGAGTTCCATTTTTAATTTTTTGAGGAAACTTCATAGTGTTTTCCACAGTGGCTGCACCTGTCTGCATTCCCACCAGCAGTGTATGAGGGTTCCTGAGAACCCAGAAATTGACCCAAGCATTATGCTCAATTAATATTTGACAAAGGAGGCAAGAGTATACAATGGAGTCAAGACGGTCTCTTCAATAAATGGTGATGGGAAAATTGGTCAGATACATACAAAAAAATGAAACTAGACCACCAACTTACACCACACACACACACACACACACACACACACACACACACACACACACAAAATCTCAAAATGGATAAAGGACTTAAACGTAAGATGGGAAATCATAAAAATCTTAGAAGAATCCACAGGCAGCAAAATATCAGACATATGTTATAGCAATATCTTTACTGATACAGCTCCTAGGGCAATGGAAACTAAGGAGAAAGTAAACAAATGGGACTACATCAAAATAAAAAGCTTCTGCACAGCAAAAGAAACCATCAACAAAACAAGAAAGTCCACTGCCTGGGAGAACATATTTGCCAGTGGTAAATAAGGGTTTAATCTCTAAAATTTACAGGGAACTCATACAACTTAACAAAAGGAAGATAAACAATCCAATCAAAAAATGAGCAAACGACCTAAATAGATACTTTTTGAAAGAGGACATACAGAAAACCAAGAGACATATGAAAACATGCTCAAAGTCACTAACCATCCAAGAGATGCAAATCAAAATGACAATGAGGTACCATCTTACACCTGTCAGAATGGCTATCATCAACAAATCAACAAACGACAAGTGCTGGCGAGGATGTGGAAGTTTGTTTTATGAACAAGATGAACAAGACATGGTAAACTTCTCTTAATGTCAATATTTTAGAAAGTAAAATCAATACATGAATCATAAACAATTCAAATAACAGTTGTGCTTTTTTTTCTGTTAGAAATCAAAGCAGGCTCTTTCCTCAGATCCATTTAAAACAGTGATTCCCAAAGTGGGCGCTACCGCCCCCTGGTGGGCGCTGCAGCGATCCAGGGGGGCGGTGATGGCCACAGGTGCATTTGTTTTAATTTTTTTGTATTACCTTTCTATTCTGAGTTCAATAAATAGTTTCATAATTTCAAACTTCAATGTTTCTAATTTACACCTTTCTTTACTATATTTTATGAAAAAGGTAGAAACATTAATACATATATCTTTCTGTTTGATTGCTATTAAAATTTTTAAAAAATTAATTTCCAGGGGGCGCTGAGTAATATTTTTTCTGGAAAGGGGGCGGTAGGCCAAATAAGTTTGGGAACCACTGATTTAAAACATTTGTTTATGCTAAAACAACAACAAAAAAACCCTTAAGTGTGGAGAGTGTGTTTCTTCGCATAGAAAGCATCTCAGGAGAATGGAACTGCTGTTAGTTTCCAGTGTCCAGTCACTGCCCAAGGTCACAGTATGTGGTTTAATAGGGAGCTCAGGAAGGCAGGTGGAAACATTTAACAGACAGGTATTGTCTTGACATCGGGAGTGTGCACCCCACGTGGTCCTGCTCATGTCTGCCGTCTGGCCTGATTTCTTCCTGGAAAAATTACTAGTGCTCCCTGTTACTCTCATAGCATCCCAGTTTGGACAGTAAAATATATGTTTACCCTAGTTATATAATTTGCTCTATTTCTAAAAATCTAAGAAATGGAATTTCTGAAGAAAAATGTTGCTTCCTGCCTTCACTATCTGTTCGTTCCTTAGAACTGAGGACACTTGTCTTTGGTTCTTGATTAAGAATTAGTTCATATCCGACTTTTTTTGTTTTGTTTTTAATCCTCACCCAAGGATGTTTTTCCATTGATTTTCAGAGAGCATGGAAGAGAGAGCAAAAGACAGAGAGAAACATTGATGAGAGAGAAACACATCGATTGGTTGCCTCCTGTACACACCCCCACCAGGGCCAGGCTAGGGAGGAGCCTGCAACAGAGGCACGTGCCCCTGACCTGAATGGAACCCGGTATCCTTCAGTCCACAGGCTGATGCTCTATATTTGCTGAGCCAAACCGGCCAGGGCATATCCAACGGCTTTTATAGCTATGTCAACTCAAAGTATTTTTTTACAGACCTTGAAGCATTTTTCAACTTTATGCACTAATTACTGGGGCTGTACCCCTTATTCTTTGGGTCTACAGTTTAGCATAAAGTCCTCCACAGAGCTTATACTACACATAGGTGCATTTTTCTATCCTTGGAGCTATATACATTTAAATAGATGGCCAATATTAAAATTTTGAAATATTTAATTTTTAACTTTATAGTCTAGCTTTCTCTCTTTAATGTAATGATTTTTAGGAATTTTAACTTGTATACATATGGGATGTTATAGGATAAGAAATGATTGGCAAATATAAGTACTAAATATTAAGGTATGTTACAGTTAATCTGTAGTTGATACTGTTTAATATGAATATGCTTCATACATATTAAAATGAATATTCATTAATGTTATTCTATTAAGGAGAAAGCTACTATGATATTGGGAAGGAGCATGAAGATCAAGAACCAGAAGGTAATTCTTTTACTACATTCTGAAATCAGATCTTTTGGAGCATGGATCAAAATACCAGCTATTTATCTTAAAAGTTTTATTATATAAACTTACAGTTTATCTCTCTAGGAAGGGGTAAAGGAATATGATGCTGTTCTGGCTAATTTTGATAAACTATGCAACAATAAATGTTATGTAAAATAGCTTTATCTTTTCTTGATTAGTCGCCAGAAATAATACTTTCCTCATGATGTTTATAAGAAGATCAATAGTAATTGAATAGTTGAGGTTAAAATAAGGAACTATGATAATTTTAAATTTAAAGCTATACTACATAAGACATAAAGGAAAGCTTTCTCTATTAGTTTTGCAGTTATTCTCCGTGTAAGTATTGTTAATATTTAAAAGGATATTGGAATGGAATCTCCATCCCCCAAAAAGAGTATAAGATATAACCTACATAACTTGCAAAATATCTATAATTATAAAAGTGTAATATGCTAATTAGACCAGACAGCCGAACGACCTCTGGACGTCATTCTGGATGTCCTTCTGGATGAGGCCACCACAGCGGAGGCCAAGGTAGAGGTGGTTAGGGGTGATCAGGCAGGCAGGCGAGTGGTTAGGGGCAATCAGGCAGGCAGGCAGAGTGGTTAGGGCAATCAGGTAGGCAGGCAAGTGGTTAGGAGCCAGCTGGTCCTGGATTGCAAAAGGGATGTTCGACTGCCAGTTTGTTCCATTATTTTCTTTTCATTATTGTTATTCATTTAAAAATACAGTTGTATACATTGATTTCAGTTTGCTATCAGTTTTAGTTTCAATTTTTTGTTTCTCTACTCCTTGGTGATTTATTTTTCTTTTTAGACACTATAGAACATTAACATGCTTCTAGAAGTCATAACTACAAAAAAGTTATCCTTACTCAGAGAAATGTCATGTCCACCTCTGTTCCTTTCATCTTCACCCCACTCCATATAGGTAATCAATTTGTTGTTTTCCAGTTTATCCTTCCTGTGGTTTTTGGAAGCATAAGCAGATAGGTTTGCTTTTTAAATTTCTCCTTATTTACCATAAAAAAGGTAGCGCTCTTCCCTTAATAATATACCCAGGAAATCACTTAATGTGTGTTTATATAGTTCTTTCTCATTAATATTTACAGTTGCATAATATCCACTGTTTGCACATACACTATAGTTTATTCAACACTTTCCTATTGTTATTCTGATTTTCTCAAGAGTTTTTAATTGAGAATGAGTGTGAATTTTGTCAAAAGCTTTTTAGTATCTATTTTTCTTCAAATTTAGTCTTGATTTCTGGAAGTTTTTGGCCTTTTTCTTCTATTTTTTTTTTACCTGAATTTTTCAAGTTCTTATTCTGAATAGTAATTACTTCATTATATCTCCAAGAAATTTTGGCTTAAACAATTTTCATCTGATTGATAACAATATTCAGGTGATTTTTTTTTCCCTATAGGAATGTTTTGTTGCTCTTTCCCCATTTTAGAAACATGGTGTTGTGTGGATGTGGTGTTTATAGCTTTTCGGTTTCTCATACTTGATTCAGTTGCATATTTTATGAGCTGCCTTTTTACAAAAAGCTCATGTTGAAGAAAGAGGAAGACTAGGGTAATCTGGGACTTCTACAACTCAAAGGCTCCCAGTTTGTGTTCTAGTGACACCATCAGGTCTCTGCTACTTCTTGAACTTGACATGTTCAGGGAAGTTTCTATTGTCATACCTAAACTTCTACAGGTTCTACCCTACCCTTAACACCGCGAGTTCTCCTCTGCCCTTGCTACAGGCCTTTTGGGGGATCCTTCTTAAATGTAGAAGACATATGTTTGATGATTCATCTCTCTGGGTAACTTCTGGGCCCCCTCTCTGCCGCCCACTGTGCTCCTCAACCCTGCTCATAGCAGTTCCCATTCTGAGCGACCCGGTCCTCTTCAGGGTTTGTGTATGTGCTGATGACTTTTGAGACCTGCTAGTTATTTTTCTACTGCTCTCCTCACTCTTCCTTTGACTTTTAAACCCCATCATAGTTTTCTGCTTGGTTCTGCTCCCAATTCTCTGTAGAGAAGCATTCATGCACAAAATTTGTAGTTTGGAGGTGTTTTTTGTCTTCTGCCTCTGTTGAAGGTTGAATTTGCATTTCTCTCATTGTCCTTGTTTCCTTATGGCCTTCTGGGGGAGTGTGATGATTCATAACTGAGCTAACACCAAGGTCTTACTGGAAATTAAAACCTATTTTACAATGTTTCCTGTGTTTTACTTATCATATCACTCTAGTCCAGTTATTGCAATTCTTTGTTGCCTCATTTCCAAAGTGGATTAGACAATATCTAGTAAGTTTCATGTAGGGATACATTGACATACTAAAGTTGGTCTGATATCTGGTATGTGATGTGTTCATTATATTGTGATGATGATGATGATAAAGATCCTGGGAGTCTGAGTCTATGGTTACTTACTGATAACGGAGTGGAGCACCTGGTTTGAATTAATATGGAATTTTTAGGAAAGATATTATAAACTTTCTGCTTTCCTCTTTTCCCCTTCCCTTTCATTAACTGCATCTAGAAATACTTGGTTTGATTGGGTAAGTGTAATACTCAAATCATCATATATATGACTATATAATATTTGTGGCATTTAATGGCCAAGCAGAAATAAATAATTAAGCATGTTATTAAGGATGCCCTTGATCTTATTATCTATTTGATTGTAGTACTGAGCAAGTTTAATGGCACTACATTTGGCTTAATTTTAATTAAAATATATGCCTTTTTAGAATTAAATAAAAAACAATGAGATATCTGTGCTTACACTTATGATGATTTTTTAAAATCCACAATTAATGATTACTTGGATACCTGAACCAAGAAAATTGCTTTCTTCCCTACTGGGATGTCTTCTAATCTCCTTCCACACCAAAAAATCATTTATTACCCAAGTTTGTTTTCAGTATTTCATTCCTCTCCTGCTAACTACCTCTCAAGAGATTTGGAAGTGAGTTTGTATTGGAAATGATTGTGAATATTGTCTGTATTTATATGAACTTTAATTTAAAAATCAGAAATTCCCCATAATTTCATTTGTATCTCATCTTAAATAAAAGTATTGCTCCTTTGTTCAAAGCCTAAATCAAATATCACTTCCTCTGTGAAGCCTTCCTGGACTTGCCCAATGCAATTAGAGAAATTTTTTTTTCTATTGTAGCACTTTCCACACTGTGTTGTGTTTTGTGCACGGCACATGGCTTCTAGTGCAGAATTGAATGAGATACATGTGTATCTTCAGACTCTTTATATTTATTGGGAATTAGAAGCCAGTCCCTCGGCCTGGCTGGCAATCGGGGCCAATTGGGGGGGCTGGCTGGAGGGGGGAAGGAACCATGGGAGGTTGGCTGGCCAGGGGGAGGGACTGCAGAGGGTTGGGCAGATGTGGGACGTTGGTTGTGGGAGCACACTGACCACCAGGGGGAAGCTCCTACATAGAGTGTCTGCCCCCTGGTGGTCACTGCGCATCATAGCAACTAGTCAATCAATTGTTCAGCTGCTTAGGCTTTTTATATATAGACTAGAGGCCCGGTGCACAAAAATTTGTGCACTCGGGGGTGGGGGGCCCCTCAGCCCAGCCTCTGCCCTCTCGCAGTCTGGGACCCCTCGGGGGATGACCACCTGCTGGCTTAGGCCTGCTCCCCTGGGGATTGGCCTAAGATGGAAATCAGACATCCCTCTGGCAACCTGGCAGCCCTCGAGGGATGTCCACTTGCCAGCGGGGAGCAGGCCTAAGCTGCAGTCGGACATCCTTAGCGCTGCTGAGGAGGCAGGAGCGGCTCCCACCACCACCGCTGTACTGGCAGCCATTAGCCTGGCTTGTGGCTGAGCAGAGCTCCCCAATGTGGGAGTGCACTGACCACCAGGGGGCAGCTCCTGCATTGAGCGTCTGCCCCCTGGTGGTCAGTGTGTGTCATAGTGAACAGTCATTCCCAGTCTTTCTGCTGTTAGGGTCAGTTTGCATATTACCCTTTTACTATATAGGATAGAGGCCTGGTGCACGGGTGGGGGGCGGCTGGTTTGCCCTGAAGAGTGTCCCAGATCAGGGTGGGGGTCCTGCTGGGGTGCCTGGCCAGCCTGGGTGAGGGGATGATGGCTGTTTTCAGGCTGGCCACACCCCCTTCAGGGTGGGGGTCTCCACTGGGGTGCCTGGCCAGTCTGGGTGAGGGGCTGAGGGCCGTTTTCAGGCTGGCCAGCGACTGAAGCTCCCAGCCTCTCCTTTTTTTCTTTCTTTTTTTTTTCCTGAGATTTATTTACCTTCTATAATTGAAACATTGTTGCCATCACTGGCGCTCCTAGCTCTGAGGCCCGGCCGGCTGAAGGCAGGTATCTGGGGTTTGTTTAGCTTCTATAATTGAAACATTGTTGCTTTTGGGCTCAGAGCTGGGCCGCAGCAGGCCGGGAACCTTGGCTTCCTCCATCACTGGAGCAAGCAAGCCTCATGTTCACTTCAGTTGCATGGCTGCCAGCCGCCATCTTTGTTGGCAGTTAATTTGCATATCGCCCTGATTAGCCAATGGGAAACATAGCGGAGGTACGGTTAATTACCCTTTTTGTCTTTTATTAGATAGGATGTGGTCTGTATCTTTCACATCCTCAGAACCTAGCATAGTGCTTGGCATTGAGAGGCACTCAATAAATGGAAAATGTCCTTAAAATGTAATTTTTGATTTATTAAAATTTCTTCCTGGTAAATGTCACAGTAACATTAAAGATGTGATTCTCAACTCTAAAACATTATAAAAGTGGCCTAATACATGACTCAGACAAAGCAGTGCATTCTCTGTGGCCTTCATGTACACATTTATAAAATGAAGGGTTTGGATAATATGATTTCTAAAGATCTTTATATCTCCAAAATTCTATAACTGTGACACCTAAGAATTAAATAAATGGGAGAGGGTGATATGAACACATGTTTTCAACCCTACTTTCTCTATCACCTCTTTCTGGAATAACAACA